GTCAAGCCAATTGGGCTTACTAGACCAAGCCCATAATAAAATATGGGAGAAAAATAGAAATATGTCAACATTAAGGCCACTACACCCATGCATGAAGGAAAAAGCCCAAACAAGAAAATAGCCTAGAGAACACTAAATGTTGTAAATGGAAAGCTCACAAATTTATAGCAGTCTTCTATTAGTCAAACCTCAATGCTGCAAACCCAAACTCTGTTCAGTCCCCACCCTTGATCAAAAATGAAGACCACCTTTATCAACCACAACCTGAGACTGCATAAAAGAGTAGGTCAATTTCGTATATTTTGAAGCCTCTTGATATTTCATCATCCTCTTCGATGCATATTGACTTATTTGGTGAAGAAGAACCTGTGACATTGGTGACTATATCAAGAGTTATTCTTGATGAGCTTGTTAATGACCCAGTCAAATAAGGTTGGGTTCTTGTCTTTTTCTATCTATCAATTGTTTAAATGATAATTGCTTCATGAAATTGTCATGGTATTGGTGGCAAAACTTTTCCAACACTATTAGAGATCTAGTTTCTTCTTACCACATAAATTTCCTATGCCTTCTCAAACCTAGGATTAGTGGGTCTCACGCTGATCATGTTGTTAGAAACCTTAGTTTTAATAGTTGGCTCCCAGTTGAGCTATGAGTTTTGCTAGGGGCATATAAGTTCTATGGAATGACAATGTTACTGAGGTTACTAACCTTTGCTCTACTACCCAACTTCTGCACTATAGACTCAATGATTTAAATTCAAATGATTACAACTTATTCTCCTTCATCTATGCTAAGACTTGCCCTGCCAAAAGAAAAGTATTATGGGAAACCATCAAAATAATCACTAACTATGCCCATGAGGTTTGGCTCCTAATAAGAGATTTCAATACCTGCTTGGACTTTCTTTATAAAGTTGGAGGATGCTCCCCATCTGCACAATCCATATTTGATTTTTCAAACTGCATCAACTATAATACCCTCTTAGAATTACCTTTAATTGGAGATAAATTCACCTGGAAAAAAAGTGGTGTCAAGGAATGATTAGACTAGACTTTTTGTAAAACCCTCTAGGAAAAATCTTATCCTTATACAAAAGTCGACCATTGTTTAAGATACAGCTTTGACTATAGGCATTTGGTTGTTAAAAATGACAACCCTCCTATTCAAACTCCATGTATTAAGAGATTCTTCTATCATGCGGCTTGAACTCTTGAAGAAGGCTTTTCAAGTGTGGTTAAAGATGCTTGGGATAACAAGAATTGGCTTGATAGAGTTGCTCATTTCAATAAATCTACCTCAAATTAGAATCAAAATGTAATTGGAAACATAAAAAAAAAAGAAATAGCTCAATCACAGACTTATAGGTATTAACAGAAAAATGTTGTGAGAATGATCATAAGGGACCTTTTTAATTAGAAAAATCTCTTTGACAAGAATACCAAAAGACCTATACTCAAGAGGAAATGATATGGTTTTAAAAATCTAGATGCAATTGGCTCTAATAGGGAAACTGCAACACTAGATTTTTCCATGCCATCACCAAGATCAAGCAAAAGAAAAGCATCATCAATGCTCTCCAAAATGATACTGGAGAATGGATTCAAGACAAAGACAGCTTAAAAGAGATGGCTTGTGACTTCTTTTAAAATCTTTATTCCAAGGATCCTAATATTTCTAGCTTTGTTAACTGGCCTAACATGTTTCCTTCCCTGTATAACAGTGATCTTCGGCTTATTCATAGAGAAGTTATTGATATTGAGAAAAAGAATGCTACTTTTGACTGGGAGCTTTCAAGGCACCTAGACCCGATGGTATTCAAGTCCATTTCTTCCAGTCACAATGGGATTTAATTGGGGGAAAAATAAGTTATCTTGTCAAGCATACTTTCCTCAATCCAGCCTTAGTCAAAGACCTCAACCACACCAATAATGTGCTCATCCCCAAAGTGGAACACCCTACCTCCCTTAAAGAGTTTAGACCTATCTCCCTTTATAATGTTAGCTTGAAAATCATCACCAAGATTATTGCTAATAAACTCAAAAGTGTTCTTTATCTCTTGTCGAACTAGCCCAATATAGCTTCATAAAAGGCAGACAAAGTTCTAATAATATCATTATTGCCCAAAAAATCATCCACTTCATGCATAGTAAAAATAGAACAAAAGGCTATATTGCTATTAAAGTAGACATGGAAAAAACTTTTGACAGAATTGATTAGAACCTCATCCAAAGTACTCTCACTAATATTGGCCTTCACCAAGTCCCTATATATCTCATCATGTCTTATGTCACCCCTACAACCATGAATGTCCTGGTGAGGAGACTTATCAATTTTCCCCCTTAAGAGGAATTAAACAAGGAGATCCTCTTAGCCCTCACCTCTTTATCTTGTGCATAGAGTGACTTGGACATCTCATTCAAAATAAGGTTGCTAGAAAGAATTGGAAGACAATTAAGATAAGCAACCAAGGCCCCAAAATCTCTCATCTCTTCTTTGCAGATGATCTCATCCTCTTTGTTGAAGCTTCTTCCCACCAAATAAGTGTCATAAGAGATGTCATGACTAAATTTTGTGAGGATTTTTGATATCGCATAAATTAATCTAAGTCTAAAGCCTTTTTTGCTAGAAATGTCAATTTCCATCGGGCTTAGGAGCTTAGTGACTTGCTTGGCATTAGAATTAACGCTGACCTTGGCAAGTACCTTAGTATTCCCCTCCTTCACCAGTGTACTTCTATTAAAACTTATCATCCCATCCTTCGGAAAGTTCGCAACAAACTCTCCTTATCGAAAGGTAAGTATCTCTCTCTTGTTGGTAGGGCTCTTTTAATTAATTCTGTCCTTTTTGTCATTTCCAATCATACTATGCAAACCACCCTTCTCCCAAAAGGAATCTCAAATGAAATTGAAAAGACTACCAGGAATTTCTATTAGAATTAGGGTAGGGCGGGTAAAAAGTTGCACCTCATTGCTTGTGATACCTTAAAAATGGACAAAAAAGATGGAGTATTAGGTTTTAAAGATCTCCACAAACAAAATATGACTTACATGATGAAACTTTGTTGGGGCTTATTAACCAAGACTAACTCCCTTTGGGTTTAAGTCTTAAAAGCCAAATATAAATGTAGATCTAATCTTTATCCCTCTGTCTGGAAGAAAAAGAATTCCTCTCCATCTGGAATGGTATATTTGCTATTTGGGATACCTTCTCTATTGAAGTTGGGAGGAGAATTCACAATAGAAAAAGAACCAAATTTTAGAGGATTTATGGACACCCTTGGTGTTGGTGTTCCCCTTATTCAATGTGTGGATAACAATCATCATTTGCTTAATCCTAATGCCATTGTTGATCACTTTATTCTACCCAATGGACACTAGAACATTCATGCTTGGCTTAAGTTCCTCCCTCTTTAGGTTATTTCAAAAAATTAAATGGACAAAATTACCCAATGATGGCCTTGAAGATTGCTCCATTTGGAGAAAATCCTCTTATAGGAACTTTAGTATTAAATTAGCTTATTTTTCTCTTCAGAATCCAATCTCTCATCCTATAGATACTTTTTGGAGAAAACTTTAGAAGTAGCCCATCCCTAAAAAGCAAAAGCAATTTTTCTGGCAAGTTTACCATGAGAGACTTCCCATAAATCATTTGACAGTATCAAGAGGCTTATCTTTGAATGCAAATTGCCCTTTTGAGTGCAATAGTAAGGAAAACACTTTACATATCCTTCGCTATTGTAAGGTTGCCAAGCAAGTGTGGTCCTATTTTACTAACCCTTTATATCTACAATTTTTCTTCTCTTTCAATTTGCAGGTCTGGTTGAAGATGAACTCCCACAAGACCATGGGATGCAGAACACAAAATACTCTCTCCTGGCTTAGCACTTTCTGCACAATTTGCTGGCTACTATGGAAAAATAGGTGCAAAAAGATAATGGAAGGCTAGAGATTTGATGTAAGGGCAATTAGTTACAGCGCACAACACCAAATCTCTGAGACAGTGAAAAATGGCAAATATAAACACAAGATTTTTCATACTGCTGAATGGACAGAAAAGAAGTGGTGTCCTCCCCCAACTGATTTCTTACGGCTAGGCGTGGATGGATCTGTCAAGCAATCGGGCTTCGCTTTGTGTGGGGGCATTATTAGAGACGCTTACGAGAGCTGGATCATGGGCTTTCAGCAAAAGCTTAGTTTTACCCTTCTACTAATGCTGAACTTCTAGCTATGGGTTTAGGATTAAGATTGTGCAAGCAATTCCAGCTGAACAAATCAAGTGCCATACGGACTCAGTTGAAGATCTCCAATTGCTCAAGACTAGTGGAGGATTAGAACACCCATTGCACTTTGAGATCCTCAACAGTCAAGAATTGTTATACTCTAACTAGGATATGGAGATAATTCACTCCAGACGATAGACTCTCCAAGTTGCTGATTTTTAAGCCAAAGATACCCATATCACTGCCTTTGATTTTGCAATATTGTATAAGCCCCCGATTGGATGTTATGACCTTTATTGGGCCAAATATTATGCTACTACTTTAGTTTGTAATCCCTCAGGCTTTTTTGCCTGTCCTTCTCGAAAAACAAAGAGGTGTTTTGACACCAAATATAAAAATAGTATTTTTGTAGTTTAAAATAAAGTATTTATTAGTCATTGCATCACGTAATTATCACCTCATCAATGTCATTATTTGAATTCATAAACAATATAATTAACTCAAAAAAAATATAATTTTTAATTTTATATCCATCTCTATTATACTTTATCATGCTGTCAAACGGCCACTCAGGTAATGGGAGGGACATGGAGCTGGTAAGGATAGACAAAGTCAGATTATTTTTTTTTTGGCTATGATAGACGATGGGCAAACCAGAATTGGGCTGGAGAGCGAAAGTCCGATAAGAAAGGCCCAAAATCTAAAAGATTTTCGAAGCTGTGCATTTGAGGACCAATGATGCCTCCTTGCATGGGCATCTCCCAACGTTCTTGAATTTTCTTCGGTTTGGCGCGAATTTCTCACTGCTCAAAAAAGGTTACCATCGCCGTCTGCGTCTGTTCCTTCTTGTTCGTCTTTTTCGCCAAAACTCTCACCATGCCCACCACCCTCTCTCTTTTGCAATTGAGCAGGTCCCCTCCATCTCCCCCCTCTCTATTCTCGGCTGCGGAATCCGTTCACCTCGGAATCCGCCATGGAAGGATGTATAGAATAATATCCACGCCGGCCCATAAATTCCGCCAATTTGGGCGACTCCAAGTGAAGCCCTCCGGCGCCACCACCGAAGAGGAACACGCCCACCTCATCCTATGGCGTCACCAGATCCTCGACCCCGACAGCGACATTGTGGCACGTTGGAACAGGATCTTCCTTGTCACCAGTCTCATCGCGCTTTTCATAGACCCTCTTTACTTATATCTGCCTTCCATCGGAGGCCCCGGTTGCTTGCAAACCAATACAAAATTGAGCATCATCGTCACTCTTCTGCGCTCCTTCTCGGACCTTTTCTACGTGCTCCACATGATCATGAAATTTCGGACTGCCTTCGTGGCCCCAAATTCTAGGATTTTTGGTCGGGGTGAGTTGGTTACCGATGCCCGAGAAATTGCCAGACGCTACATGAAGTCTGATTTTGTCATCGATCTCGCCGCGACGCTCCCACTGCCCCAGGTCACGTCAATGTCAATCTTTTTTTTAAAAAAAAAAAATACTCATAATTTCTTGCATTATCTCAAAAATATTTGATATTTTGTTTTGGGTTTCTCCTGCAGATTGTCATTTGGCTAGTTATTCCAACGTCCTCAGCTGACCATGCCCACATCACTCTGGCTCTTTTCGTGCTCATTCAGTATGTTCCTCGACTGTTTCTGATCTTCCCGTTGAACAAGCGCATTGTCAAAACCTCTGGTGTTGTTGCCAAGACTCCCTGGACTGGAGCTGCATATAATCTTCTACTCTACATGCTAGCTAGTCATGTAAGCTCACATACTTGCCCATTAATTTGGCCCTTCCTTCACTCTTTTTAAGGGTTGTTTTGTTCACGACGGCGCTGTGGTGGGATAGGTTACCGGAGCAACTTGGTATCTGTCTGCAATAGCACGACAATTGAATTGTTGGACTGAAGAGTGCAGAGCTGAGAACGAATTACAAACCCTGTCTTGCCTAATAAGTTATCTTGATTGTGGAACTTTGAACAACCCTGATAGGCAATACTGGCTAAATGTCACCAACGTTGTTAAAAGTTGCGATGTGAAGAGCGGGAATAACAAATATTCATTTGGGATGTTTCAAGCTGCTTTTAGGAAGGCAGTTGCTACTGGCAGTTTCAGTGAGAGATACTTTTATTGTCTTTGGTGGGGTATAAGAAATTTAAGGTATATTCCTCACTTGAAACGTCAGTGCTAATACTTCCTCAAATATTTCTTCTGAGCTATAGAAATTTACATCTCGTGCACCATTTCCTCTTTTATGTATTGCTCTGCTTCTCGTTTTGAAATCTAAGGTAGACGATGGAATATATAAATTTACATTGCGTGTCATTCTGATATCAATGTTACTTGATGATACTTTGATATGTAGTCATATCTCTGACGGTGAAATATTTTCTGGGGAAATCAGCGGTTGGAATCGAATTTCGGGACCATTAATTCTTATAGTTCTTATAATTTCTATACTACTTTAAATTGCCTGCAATTTTTATATTACCATGTTCACATATTAGAATTCACGTTATTTTTCCCCGCAGTTCATATGGACAGAACTTGGACACCACTGTATTCATCGGGGAGACCCTTTTTTCCATCATCCTATGCGTTGTTGGACTAGTGCTCTTTGCACTTTTGATTGGGAACATGCAGGTACGAGTTTTCCAAGTTATTTGTTAATCCCCAAGGCCACAAAAATACAAAACATTTTTCTTTTGGTTTAGATTTTTCAGTATAAAATGAACGTCTATGAGAAAAGTTTACTGGGATGGAAATATATGTATGTATGTGTCATGTGTATATAGAAGTAATGCAACTGCTAATTTTAGCTAATGAACATCTTTTCCGCTATTGAAGACATACTTAGAGTCAATGTCAGCAAGACTTGAAGAATGGAGGATTAGGAAGAGAGATACAGATGAATGGATGAGGCATCGCCAGTTGCCTCCAGATTTGCAGGAACGTGTCCGTCGCTTTGGTCAATATAAATGGCTCGCAACAAGAGGAGTTGATGAGAAATCCATATTGCTTTCACTACCTTTAGATCTACGTCGTGAAATCCAACGCCACCTGTGTCTTGCTCTTGTTCGGCGTGTATGTCTGCCTTCATCTTCCATGTCTTAGTTCACCAGTCTGGCATAGCTCTGGATCTTAATTAATCACATATAATCATATATTTACTCATAAGATTTCCGTGCTTATTTAGAAAATTGTTTGCACATCCAGGTCCCTTTCTTTTCACAGATGGACGATCAGCTCCTTGATGCCATCTGTGAACACCTTGTCTCGTCCCTAAGCACTGAAGGCACCTACATTTTTCGAGAGGGTGATCCCGTAAATGAAATGGTGTTCATTATTAGAGGACAACTGGAGAGCTCCACTACCAATGGAGGAAGGTCGGGCTTCTTCAATTCTATTACCCTCAGACCTGGAGATTTCTGTGGCGAGGAACTATTGACATGGGCCTTAATGCCAAACTCTAGCTCAAACCTACCTTCTTCAACTCGAACTGTCAGGGCTCTCACCGAAGTCGAAGCTTTTGCGTTACAGGCGGAGGATCTCAAAGCTGTGGCGGCTCAGTTCAAGCGCCTCCATAGCAAGAAACTTCAACATGCTTTTAGGTATTATTCCCATCAATGGAGGGCGTGGGCAGCTTGCTTGATAGAGGCTGCTTGGAGAAGGTACAAGAAACGCAAGGCGTCTAGAGAGTTGTCGCTGAAAGAGAGCCTTTACTACATGGCAAAACCAGAGGGAGAAACTAGTTACAGCGACATGCTTGATGTTGATTTGGAGGACTCATCAAGGGACGCCGCAAGTAATAGAACTCAAGCTCTTGGTGCTACTGTTATGGCCTCCACCTTCGCTGCAAATGCAAGGAAAGGCACTAATGCTGGCCGTAAATCTCAGGGCGGTGATCCTGTACCCCAATTGTTTAAGCCTGATGAACCTGATTTCTCTGTGTTATAGCAAGCAAACTTGTTAACGTACAGCTAGGAAATGACTTGGATGCAAAGTTATTAAAAAATTTTTGACTCTCCTGTAAATGTGTGTATTCATATGGTAGAGTAGCACTGATGTTCACATCTTCAACTGTAAGTTTAACGTGTTCTGTAAAATATATTTTGAAAAAATTTCCCCTAAATCATGGTAGATGCATTTTAATTTACGACCAAAGGATGGCTAAGATCGTTATTCAAAATCATTGGTTTTCTCTAGCGTTAATTTGTTCTGAGAATGGGATGAAATGAATTAGAGACGGAAAAAAGTGAGTTTTTTATTTTAAATTCCAAATACAAAAATAAAAAAATATAGAGATATTGTTGAATAATTATAATTGCATATCTTAAACCTTATGTCAAGAAATCTAGTTCTGTTTCAATCAAGACAACCAATTAGGGACTCCTGGTCTTGGATCTTAATTTGTCATTCCATTATTATTTCATTATATATTATCAAAACTATAAATTCAAATATTTTAATAATGTATTCACTTTTTCTAAAAAAAATTTGACGACACACATGATTTTAAAATCTCTGACATTTGGAATAAGGTAAAGAAATTCATTAATTGGCAGTGATGTTGAATTTCGTACACGCATGTACCATGAGTGTCATCAGTATGGAAGGATTATCGTAAAATCCTCAACTTACTTCCACCACACACATAAGTATATAACACGTTCTTGTCTTTCCAAACCGTGCTATGAAAGGAGCACATTTCATTCTGAATCGAACAAAGAAAGTTCAAAACGACGACAGGAACGAGCGACCCGCCCAGGGATCATGTGGTTGGTGTTAGTTTTTCATTCTGGGACTGCTTTATTGATGGAATATAGATGAGATGCGATTAGATTTATTTTAGATATTTAAAATTATTTGAATAATGATATTTAGAATATCCATTAGATTATTTAGGATTTTCAGATTTTTATCAATATCTTTTCTATGATTATTTTAAATTTTATTTATTTTTCAATAAAATAGGATAATTAGGCAAATCTATATCCTTTTTAAGGTTCTCAGTTGTGAGATATTCTTGTATGGATTCATATACTATCTAATAAAAACATCCTATATCAAAATTCATTTAATCTTATGTGTTATCCGGTTCATGCAAGAATTTATTCTTCTCTTTTCTCTCCTTTTTTTTTCCTCTCTTTTCTTCATTTTCTGTTTTTTAGCACTAAACTAAGACTACCAGAAAATAATTAAATATTATAGATGCTGAGAATAAGGATATCAATATTAAATAGCAAATAATGTAACAAAATAAACCTCCAATATGGCAATAAGTGGAGAAGGTCAATTGGGCATTACTAGCCTCAAGAAAGCCATGCACTCAGAAAAATTACCCTCAGTGGTTTCGTGAGATGATATGCATCTTTGGAAGGAGGGAAGTGAAAGCTGGTTGAGACTTTCTATTTTTCATACATTGATCCTTTCTCTTTTCTCTCTTCCCCTTTTATTCTCTCCGCTTCACATATATTCATGCTTTATAGTTTTTTTGTCATCAAATTAATAGTTTTCTTATTTTATACATATATATATATATATATAAACGTCTCATATTAAGTTATTAGAAAATTAATTACAATTATATAAATGTACAGTGAGTTATTTTAAAGTAGTTTAATTCATTTTGGTGTAAGTGACAAACCTTAACTTGTAATTAAAATAAACTCTAATATATGCTATCAAGAGTCAGGCTGATTTAAGAGTAAAATAAAGGGGAAAATGATATTAAAAAAAGAAATGAAAGCAGAAATCGGTTTAAAATATTTTATAAGTGAGAAATTTTCGTAAAATTTTTCAAGTATCTTTCTTCATTTTATTATTTTTTATAAAATATGAAATAATTTTTTCTTTGTTAAAAAAGTGACCTTCAAGAAATTTACATAATCTTAATTTCAATTTCAGATAATCTAAACCTTAAAGAAATAAAAAAAATTAGATTAAATGCAGGATGGAATGCAAGATAATTAATAATACTCGTAGAAACTTATAAAAGGACGAACAAATTCCAATCCTTCCCACTTATTAATTAATTAATAATGCAAATAAATTAAAGGCTAGCTTTGTGGGTCTCTTCTCGATGGAGAGTTTCCATGAGAGTTTCCATGAGAGGAGTGATGGAGACAAATATATTGCTGCAGTCTCCAACTCGTATCAATTATACACCATTCATGGAGGATTCCGTCCGGCATGCCTCCACAAACAGTGAGTCTAAGGCTCGCCAAGACGAGCCACCCTCAACCACCTCCTTCTTCGCCTTCTCCGCCAACTCCGCCACCTTCCTCCTCACCTCTCTCCCGTTCTCTCCTTCCATCAGCTCTCTCACCATTTTGCTTACCCCTTCTCCGGCCCAGCGAACCCTGGAACGCGTCAACTCTCAACCCCACCTTTATCTCCTCCTCCACCATTTTCGCATTCAGATGCTGTTCCGCCATCATTGGCCACGCCAGGATCGGCACTCCTCCGCATATAGCTTCCAGCACTGAATTCCACCCGCAGTGGCTCAGGAACCCCTTCACACTCTTGTGCATCAGTATTCCTCTCTGGTCCACCCACTCTCTCACTATAATCCCTCTCTCTTCCACTCTTTCTTCGAACCCCTGAGGTAGCTCCCACTCTTTCTTCCTCACCACCCACATAAACTCCACCTTCGATTCTTCCAATCCCGTGGCTATTTCTTTTAGTTGTTCGCTTGATATCTCGGCTTGCGACCCAAATGCAACGTACAGGACTTCCTGCTTTTTGTCTAACCACTCCATCCATGTTGGTTTTCTAGGTTCTTCGCTAAACTTATTCCTCGGCTCTTCGTCCAGGCATAAAGGCCCCACATAGTAGTGTGGTTTCTGATCCGACTCTGCGTAAGTGCTGGTGGCGGAGTACTCCAGTCTGGGAATATCGAACTTGGAAGCCGAGTGCAGGGTCCCCCATAAGAAGCCGTCAGAAACTAAACAGCTTACACTCGAAAGAGTCTCCAGCAATCGTTCGAAATGGGGCTGCATGTGCACCGTGGCGGAGGCAAACTTGCAGAACAGGGACATGGAAGTGAGTTTATCGGAGCTCTCGACGCCGGCGGGGATTTCGGGGACGTTGGCAGGGAATGGGAGGTCGATTATGGAAGCGGTGGTGTTTTGAAGGGATTCGGTTAAAAATGGGAGGTTGGCGGGGGTTGTGATAACGGTGACCGAATCACCGAAGTGTTACGGCGGAGGAGGAGGCGACCAAAGTGGAGGAGGGGAGTGGTGTGGCCTTTGGCCATGAATGGAAAAGGAAGGACGTGGTGTTGGCACGAGTCTTCCTCACACTGAACTAAACCCATGTTTTCTTGGTTAACCAAAATCTGCATGTGACCGCCACTTTGTATGAGCTAAATTGTTTGAAGGACCATAAGTAGTGATAGCGAAGGAACGCCATGTGCAATCATAGGGGCAGTATTTTAGGCTCAAAATAAATAAGTAAATAATAAAAAAATTCTGGGAGTAGCCTTCAAGCCAAAGATGATCAACGGTGATTATTTAAGAATATTTATTAATTAGCTTTATATTTGTACTTAGAGGCCAAGGCACTTTTTTTTTTAATTAATAGTGTGCTTGGTAGCACCGAATTACATGTTGCACTATGTGGTGTAACATGCACGGTAAAACATATTTTGAAAAATTTTCCACTAAATGACAAGAGATACATTTTATAGGGGAAACAGGTTCAATTAGAGGTAAGCAAGTGACCCTTGACCCGGTCTAGACCATTGGGCTGCATTCACGTTCCCACTCGTATTTATAGATATTTCTTTTTTTAATTAAGTCCGTTACAGTTTTTTTGGGTAAAAAATTAAGTCGATTAGATTGAGTCTAAAATAAAATCCAAAAAAAAAAATACCAAAAGCCTCTAATGTGCCATTTTTTAATGTCTCTTATAATATCCCAACTTTTTAATTTTATTTTTTATTTTTCTTTGAATAATTAGCTTCTACATAAAATAAAAGATATTTGAATATCTTGATGTCCCAAAATGATAAAGATTTATATTTTTTATGATTTTTCAAAAATAAAAGGGTGTATTTGTGATATTTTTCTTTAAAAAATCATAAAAAATATAAATCTTTATCATGGGACATCAAGATATCCAAATGTCTCTTATTTTATGTAGAAGTTAATAATCTAAAGAAAAATAAAAATAAAATTAAAAAATTAAAGTATTATAAAGAATATTAAAGAAGGGCACATTAAAAGTCTCTAACAAAAAAAAATCACACTACAAAGCCCAACCTATTAAGCCTTTTTTCCCCCTTACATCTTCTCAACTTTTCCTCCAGTCACAAATTTGCAATTTTCATTATAAATGATAGCGGTCTAGACTCTTTAAATATCATTTCAAAGTTCAAATAAAAAACCCAGCGTCTCATCTATTGCTCTTCTCTCTCAAATCGCAGCAGCTTGTCACCTTCTTTCTCTTATCGCACCTTTCAAGTATGTACCCTGTTGCCCTTCTTTAATCTTCATTTGAAAACCTTGCATCTCTCTCCCTCGTCGTTGTTGGACGACCAGTTGCCTTGTCTCCTTCCGCTGCTTGTCTATTTGTCCCTTGCCTTCATTCTCGCTCTACACATGCGGCGCTTTCCCAGCGTCCATATGCCTCTTCTGCTTTCGTCTTCTCTTCTTTGAATCTTAACATCTATTTGAAGTCCCGGTGCATCGTCATCCAGCTCGTGCTGATCTTCTCTTCTTGCTTTAATTAGCGTCCAAATGCGTCTTCACTCATTATTGCTCTCCCTCTATCTAGATCTGTATAATAGTATGGGGATTACTTATAAAATTGCTTTGATGAATTGTCGGGTACTTGGATATAATTTGAGAATCATCATTACACTTTGGGGATATTCTGATCTAAGATTTGGCAAACAAAGGTATATTTCTTAGCTTTCTAAAATTTAGGAATGATTTTTTTCCCTTTGGATCTCTTCCCGTATTTTTTTTTATTGTAATGAATTTTTCCTTTTACTTTGGTTATAGCATTGAAAAGTTTTGAAAATTGGAATAGGTGCTTGCTCGGTTTTATTTTTTTTAAAGGCTTTTGCACAAAACTGGCTAATCTCAACCCATCCAGTAGCCTATTTGAATTTCAGTTAAATATAATTAATTATGAAAATAATTGACTAATATGATCGATTTTGATTATAATTGATTATGTTATAAAGTAATATGTTTATATACTATTTTTCTGAATTGATTTTGGATAGAATTGAAGATGTTTAAATAATTGAATTAGAATTAATTTGGCTATGCAAATTATCATAAAGGGCATTACTTTTCAAAATTAAATTATTAATAAATTTCTATCTAATATTATTAAATTTGTTAAATTTTATTTAAAAAATAAAATATATTATTTAAATTATATGTCTGATCAATTATAAAAGTTTAAATTATATTAATATTAACAATTTAATTTACGTAAATAAATAACTCAATATATGTTAGTTTAAATAAATTTAACAAAAAATAAAGATTTAATTTTTAAATATCAAACATCAATTTTACAATAACTAATGAAGATGAAAATATACAAATTGATCCCTAATGACATCATAGATATGAGTCATAGCTAATGAATATATTATGGATGATGGTAAGGATGAATATTCATCAATGTGATAATATTCTTGTTTCTCATGCTCTATTTGATCTTCCCTTTCATGACACAAAAAATCAAAATCATAACTAGATTGTCTTCTAATGAAATTATGCATCATCATTGATGCAACAACGATCTGAACTTATATATCATAGTCGTAGCTAGGCATATTATGTAATATTGCAAACCTGTTCTTCCAAAATTCAAATGTTCTTTCTATTATGCACCATAAACTTGAATAAAAATAATTAAAGACCTTATTATTGTTTGCAAATTCAGTTGATCTTCTAAAATTAGAAAGATGGTAGTGTTCTTGTCTATATAGACTAAGATATTCATTTGGTGTTGGTAGCCGGTATTTACCAAATAATATTTACTTGTAAAAAAGAGATTATTATCAAAGTTTGTAAGTTAAAAAGTCCAACATAAATAAATTAAACCAACAAATATAACTAAAGGCGGTGTAAAAGGTTCATTAATTAAGTTGTCAGAGCACGTTTAAAAGCGAGCATCATGTGCAGTACCCTATCATCCAACTAAGACAAAAGCAAAGCATATATCTTTATCACACACAACTATTACATTTTACGTTGAGATTCCTTTTTTTCAATATATTTTAATTTTTCACTGGTGGGGACTACACATAGAATATGTGTACCATCAATTGCTCCAATTGTATTTTTGAAAAATGACCAATACCACTTATCATTTTGTATTTTGTTTGATACGCAACAAAAAGGACCTATCTTATGGTTTAATATATTCCATTGTAGATTGAAAGCAAGCCATTAAAACTTCATAGAAATATATGTGAATAGTCTCTCTTGAGTGTTGAAATCTTTCTTGTGTCATCTTGTTTCCTAGCCCATGTCCAATTGTATTTAAAAATATTGCAATCATTTCTTGTACTCTCATTCACCTAATATCCTTTAGTCCATGCCGTATCAATTCACTGCATAATTGATGAAACACATATAGTTTCATTCTAAACATTTCATAACAATGAATTGGGTGTCCTCCTAAGATTTCATTCACCCACAAATGACCTGTATATTCATTATTTCTTCATGGCTTTTTACACAAATGTTTTAATGCATACAACTAATCAAAGCATTAACTTTTTAGGCTCTCTTTAACTTTTTTTTACATGACTCTTTCATACTCCTTACTGCCTATAGCCAAACACATAAATAATATGTACACTTAATTTCAATTATAAATATATATAAATAATTTAACTATACAAATATCAATAACTTTTCCACAACATTAAAATATTTCAATAGCATATATAAAAAGCACATAAATAGTTGAAAGAGTGACATAAGTCAAATTCAACAATATAATATAAATATGTCAGACTAATCTTTAAGTAAGATAATAAATCACAACAATACAATGAAACAAGAATTAGTACCTTAAAAAGACCTTAGTACTATATTATTCTTCAATAAAAAGGAATTAGTACATTAAAAAGGCCATATTACTATATCATCCATGAATACACAATCAAACAACTATACACTTGTTATCATAATCTTGTCAACTTTCTTTATGTAGCCATACACTTATCATTGCTAAGTTTGTAATACATGCCTACCTAGAAAACTACCTTAATTTACCTTTAGTTATGATTATCACGACAAGCTTATAAATGGGTACAAACTAAGGAACCATGATATTAGAAAGTCATTTTGTAACTTAATTGATGCAAATGGCATTGCTAAGATCAGTGACTCAATTTTTCATGTTTCCAGTGAAATATACAATATCTTTCAATTTCCAAAGGAGCTAAAATGAATTTTCACTAGACTATTAAAATTTCATTATTTTCGTACATCAAAATCTAGCAAAGAAAGGAATCCAATTTTTCCTACTTATTGACCATTTTTCCATCATGACCAAAATGAATGTACTCCATTTCCAATTCAGCTCCTGGCTTGTTCATGAGAGCATCTTGCTTTCCCAAATCAAGTCATGAGTTCAGTTAGGCAGTAAAGATTTTGTACTAGAAAATGAATATACTCAAAATCTCAAGCATATTATTTTTCATCCCAACATATTATTTCCATGATTAATTATATACCATCCAATACAGAGTCTCAGGCAACTAAAAACAGCATAAAAACTTAACAAAGAAAGCAAAATTACAAGCCACAGCTAAGCTTGAAGTGACAAGAAAAATTTCCACACCATCCAAAACAAAGTCACCAAATTGCTCAAAATAATGCTTGGAGAAGATCATTTACCTTGCAAGAGGCTTAGCCCAGCTAATGCTTCACTCAAATAGATCAAAGGAGATCAAAGATGAAGAAGACACTGGATGACAAGCATATTAGAGATGGGGCGAGTAGATCAAGGCAAGACTAACCTTCTTCAACTATGGCTAGAGATTACTGCCACTGGCCATAGATCAAAGATTATAGATAGTAGTCGAGGATGTCAGGAGAACAGCACAGGAGAAGGACCACATAGATCTGCATATAAGAGACAAGAGAAAATAAGATGGCCGAAGATCTTTGCCTCTGGCCATAGATCAAAGACGATGGGCAATGACCACATTAGGGGTGGGTGAATGATGGTAGAGAGATAGCACAAGGAAGTTATAGATCAAAGAGAGTGAGAGACGGGAGATGACAGATAACAAGAGAATGAGAAATGAGAGAATTTATGTATAATAAAATGGGTGAGGGTAATA